GAAAAAAGGAATTTTCGAATACAAAACAAAATAATAGTTTACTCTATGGCGGATTGACAATCAAGGTGCATAGCTACTCTCAGAAGGACGAAAACGAGAGAACGGCCGTATTATGGCACCAATTCTTTATTTTTATTATGACTCGGAACCCTTACCTTCCCTGGAAACATGGTGTAGACTTGTTTGTTTCACTTTATTTTCAAAATTTCCATCTTTCAAGAGGGTTTATGTGCTTACATTCTGTGAGGTATCAAGTTCTGCTGTTTTCAAAATAAAATAAACATTTTCTACTCATTTTGCCTTTGGCGTGTTCAATCAGTTTAAAGGCAGAACCCGCGATTATTCGGCATCTCAGATAGTGGACTAAGGAGTTTCATTTAGACGACAAGGTATGGTTGAGTAACTCGGCAGTGAAGAAAAAAGCACGAAAAACATGCCACCTGTCCTAGATAGAACCCCATTTGTGCGTGCCCAATTAACTTCTATCTCCCTCACATGCACAGCCGATTCACCGATAAGAACTCTGCGATAGTACAAGTGACGATTTTCATGCTTTTTCGCCCCTTTTTCGTTTTCCACTGAAAGCCAGGCATTGGAGGCGGAGTCGCTGGAAAAAAGGAACACTGAACCTATCTTGCGCTATAGCGCCCCTCCCTTGGAATTTTTTGCAGCAAAACCGGTACAAGGTTGCTCGTGGACCACTGTAACCTCCTGATGCTATATTTTTCAACTGTTCGATTACCTTGCATCGCGTACCTCCCTTTAAATGAGTATTGAGGCTTGCACGAGAGTTGAGTGGACCTCTTGCGCTTGTTTGGAGGGTTCAGGGAAGTAAACTGTGCGACTCAAAGGTTCCAATTTCAACCTTGCTGGAATCCACACTGCCTTGGAGACATAGGACACGGCAGTTTTGTACTCGGTCGAAAATGGTAACAGGGGTGCCATATTGCGGGAAAACGGCAAAGACGCGAAGTAAAACGGTCAAAAACCTGCGGAAAAAGTTGTGTTCTACAAAACTCAGAAAGCAGTTTCGAGCGAGTTTCCGTTGGCATCGTGCCAATAAGCACTACGAATGCGTCGCAGCGGCTTCAATCCCTTCGCCTCATGTTGTACTTCGGAAATGAAGCGATAGGAGCACTAGCAGATCGTCTATTTGTGGGCAGGTGGCTGCGCTTGTCCTGTGTTGTAGCTTCATGGGGCGCTATGAGGCTACCTTTCTTGGGGAAGACGCTACGCGGCAATTACTCAGAGGCGCCGAATTCAGTCCTGCTAGGCGTATTAGTCCTACACGTTTTAGGCTAATGCCGTTTGGACTCCAGAAATTTCGGCTCGAGCTCATTTTAAAAGTGGCAAGATCACCAAATCCGCTAAAAACTTGTATATAGGGGTAATTCAACATCCTGATCACGAATATGACATTCATTTTTGGCGCTGGCGCTAATGGATGACACTACGGTTACCTGCGCTCTGCTAAGGCTGAGCCCAGGAGGTAATCGTAGTGTCCTCTCTTGGCGCCAGCGCCAAGAATGAGTGTCATACTCGTAATCAGGATGTTGAATTACCCCTATATACAAGTTTTTAGCGGATTTGGTGACTTAGGCAATTTGAAAATGAGCTCGGAGCCGAAATTTCTGGAGTCCAAACGGCATTAGCCTACGTTTTAGAGATTACCGTGCCAACTGCCTTCAAGGGACACCTGGCTCGCATGAGACGCGCTACTCATTCAGCAGCGCTTGGGAGACATAAAATTGTACAGCACCATGGTGTTGATTTCGCGATAAAATGCACGTCTTTGGCGCACGAGATGGAATTTCGTGGAAGAAAAGCCTTGGAGGCCTTCTGAATTTCCTCAAGGAATTCAGTGATGAACAGCTGAGATCAGCATCGTTTGATTGGGCGAGCTGTAGAGTAGTACATCATTTCGTGGGCTTCCTTATAACTATCATCAGTATCTTATCAGGAGACTCATCAGAAGAAGTGATATGCGTCACTGCAAAGTACGTCTTACTCGCTTCTTACTGACGCTAGTTAGTGGATTCAGATTTCTCCGCTCAGGAGGTAGAACCCTAGATGGGTTCGGTTTCATGCTTCAAGCGGAATTCTTTCAGAGGTTCCTGGCGCTTGGCGAATCTGGGGCTAAATCTGAACCTTGAATCGTGTGTATGCCTCATAGGCGATGATTCAGTCGAAAAGTTGGCCGCCTGAATGAAAAGTTCCACCTATCAAGTTCGAAAGGCACAAAAACGACTAATCACTGAGCAATACATCTGAATATGCCGTGGTTGCAAGAAGAAAGAAGAAGAAAATGGAGAATGCTACACTCTTATTGACTCACGTTTATGACGGCGGGATACGGGCAAGAGAATCGTAATGTGCGCTGCGCCGCGCACAGCTGTAGGCATGACGTCTCTTAACTCGTGCTAACCTGTCTACTGGAGCACCGGACTTCATGTAGACCCCGTCATCGTGGACATTCATGACTATTTTCGGTTCTGAATTGCCTGTTGTCGCCATCCACTACCTGGAGCCATCGTCATTTGCGGTCGAACTCGACGCCTAGCACGGGGTAGTCCACTCGGCATCATTACGGCAGAGTGCCTGGCGGTTCCCCGTCCTCGGTCATACGCCTGACTCATAATCCCGAACGGTTGCCACCTGTAGTCCACCATTCGATACTTTACCGTAACTTACCAATAACGGCGATTGGGTTCTTCTTGATTTTTCCACAGGACGACTTATGAATTTCGTTCAGATCCACTGAAATACGCTTTAATGTGACCATGCAGGCTGTTGGAAGTGTGACGTGAGCTTTGGTTGAGTTCAGGATATTCGCGACAGGACCTGTCCACTCCGCTGGGCTTTATATGTTGTTTCTGAGCACTGTTCGCAAGTATGAGCCTGAATCTTTGCCATCGCCTTTAGTGCGTTTAGGACGTTTGATCACAATACACATCAGGCGCGACGTCGCGGCCATGCCCTGCAGCATTATCACCTCACCATGCCAAAACCTCCCCCTCTTGCACGCACACATGGCCTTAATGTACTAGGGATAAATGAGCGGGAAAAACCGCCCTTTTTCTGCTTGTCTGCACCATCGGCACCAATCGGGAGGCATTTTTGTGGCACAACAGGGAGACGGGCAAGAGGATCGCATTTGCCTCTTCATCGCGCGCGGCGATGGGCGCGGCGTTTTCTAAACTCGTCTTACCTCGCTGTTCAAAGCTCCGGACTTTATGTAGACCCCGTCATCACTCAATAATGACTATTTTCAGATTGACTGTTGTCGCCATCTACCACCTGGAACCATACTCATTTGCAGAGGCGACGTACGCGACGCCCACCAGCGCGGCGAATTACGATTCTCTTGTCACATACCCTGCTGCACAATCACATTGTCGCTGACTTGTCATGACAGGTATAAATACGCGTGCGAAGCTGGGAGACGTACGATTCCATCTTGAGCTTACGAGGTCGCATCACTTACGGCGCGCTCGGTTAGGATGCGCGACCGTATCCACGAATGTCGCTTTAGCGAAGAATTCGCTCTCATCCACAAGGCATCCTTCAGGGTAACAATGGGATAAACCCTCTCGTAATTTTAACGAGCTGTGAGACAACATACTCGTATGCCAAGGCTGCAACGTCGCGCGCCACACCCACTACTGCGCTAACCTACGATAGAAGCGCCACATACCCCGAAAAGTTAGCCAGGAATTACAAAATTATATGATTTCAATGACTGACGACCTATATGAAGCTGTAATAGTTGATTTAGATGCTTTTTCTACTCAGACTGGGCATCTCCCAATGTTCAGTTGAGAAAATGCTGTATCTGTAGCTCTGGACGAGTTTTCTCGCCTGGAAGACGGTATAGCGTAACAAGGTCGGCCATCGTGGGTTCACATGCATTTCAACGAACGCTCGGTGCCATTAAGCGCGTAGGTTGCTTAAGCATGTTTCAACATGTTTCAACATGATATTTTCATGTTGAACAAGTCTACGCGCGGTCGCTGTAAAAATGGAGTCTGGCAGCCCTTATAACGCCAAAAAAGACAATCGATATCTGTGTGTTGTCTGCGCCCTCCCACGGAGAACGCTTTCCCTGGGTTCACTTGAACCTTATAGGCGCACCTCCGATAGAAACACGTTTTTCAGCAACGTGCATACGTTTTTTAAAAGTTGCCTAGTAATAGACAGAACGAGGTCCTCTCGCGACGGATTCACTATAACGCTCCTTTTTTTTACTCTTGAATTTCTCGCAGATTCTGTGGAAATTTTTGGCTGCTCTTACACAGTAAGAGCTACCTCAAAAAAGTAGCTGAGCGAGGAAGGGGGGAGGAGACGCGCAATCCGGGTCCCTTGCTCCAGGCAAGGCACTCGCTCGGCAGATCGCAGACGACCAGAGTCGCTAAGGTAAAGTCCCACACGACATAAATCCACTCACCGCCGCGCACTCCTCCTTCCCCCCCCCCTCCTTTCCGACCCAAACTACCTTTGTGGATAGGAAGACAGTGTCGCAAGTAGAATCATTCTTGCGGCAGCGCTGGGCGTTCGGGAGACGTCAAACTACGCCTGCCTGGAACGCCCCTGCACCGGCAGAGAAAAGGCGCAGTTTGGCGACGGGGGGGGGGAAGGGGAGCTGCTGCACTTCACCAGTTCTGTTTTCAAGTCTACCCTGATGAAACGCATGAGTTCTTGTGAATTTAGACCAAGCTCGTGTAGCCTTTATGGCAGAAACTTTTGTAAGCTCACAAAATGACTCCCTAGATGGATCGACACCTCGATGATAAGTAGCGAAAGTGCAAAATGGCCCTCCCAGCCCCCGTCGTCGTACTGCTCCGAGAAAGCAGCTGTACCGAGCAAAGTGTTTCTATATTTCTGAACAGAAATCCGATGCATGGCTTATTCGTGAATAGACGATCAGCAACTTCAATTTTAATTCAGTTGTTAGCTATTTCTTACTCATACAATACATTTAAGCTGATAACGGTAGACGAAGGTTAAACTGGTGGTGGAGGGTTGGGAACACCGTCAGTTTGGATCATTTCTGTGATACACAGAGAATTAGGATCCTTCTGATCCTGGTTTTGCAGCCTTGCCAACGACGTCTCATAAGTCTTTATAGGCACTTTCTGAAAGATTCTTCGTCACAAAAGTTTAAAAAGTGATAGGAGAGCGGTGTGGGGCTGGGGTTACTGGCTGAGAACGAAGTAGCTAGATGATTTTGGGGGCTACACGTCTATAGCATGCCTGGCTAAGGACGGACTTAAAGGCAGTGGGCACGATTCTGGGTGTGGCCAGTTGCTGCCAATGTTTTTGTGGAAGCGCCACAGGAGGGCGTTTGGCCACACTCCACCCACCAACCAACGACGTTGGCAGCAACCACTCGCCGCTAGCCATTGTGCCCACGGGCTTTAATTTACTACAAGCCCCCTCCCTCGTGACTACCCGATTCACCCGTCAACTTGCAGTATATTGGAGCGAGAAACTTGGGATCTATCACATACCTCGAGATCTTCTTGTAGAAGTTCGTTGTCCATCCCTATATGAACGGATTCAATTTTCGATTTCACGCACGCTTGGTGTACATTATCGCGAGCACCTTTCTTGGCAAGGGCGCTATGCTAAAGAAAGCAAAGAAAGTCTTGATCTAATGTTGCTTATTTAGGGGGGGGGGCACTCGATGCCACGTTTACTGATTGCATGGACGTGTCATTCATCAGCAGTTGAGGTAACAACCCACGAAAACGATATAAATGGAAGATAACAAAATACGTATCTCTTTCTTTCCAACGTAAAACTCCACTGGTGGGGAGGGCGTGGCTGCATACTCCATTTGAAGGCGACGGTGGCTGCGCTCCTTCTTGCATATTGTCGTGTTAGGACAATGGTAATCAAGCTTTTGTCTAACACAAAAAGGATTTCGATTATCTTAAATGAAAATATTCTATGAGCAACGCATCTTATGCCATGCTCAAGAGGAATATTTAACCAAGTCCCACCCCCCACCGCCGCATTTCGAATATGGAAAGTACATATAGAGCAACCCTGCTACATACATTGATGTGACATACAGCAGCAGGTAAACCAAATACATCGACGTCATGTACACGTCGTCATACAGCAGTCAAAGTTAACCCCAAAATAACGGGACAGGCCGGAAGTCCCCGAAACCGCCTTACTCCCCTTTCATATTTCCCCAAACTTCATATCCCAAAGATGGGAGGGCGTGACTGCACACTCTTCGTTCAAACGCGGAGACGGCTGTGCGCTTTCTAGGATGTAGAAATTTTGAGACACTTGTTATCATGTCTTTGTCCAACATAAGACAAATTTCAGTTGTCTCAAAGGGAAACATCCCGTAATTAATAAAAATTATGCCGCGTTTAGGAGAAGTACTCTACGATAACCTTCCTGCATTCGGGTTGACGAGCCTATATACATAGACCAAACCGTCACATACAACGACGTGACGTAAGTACGTGGAGCTTACATAAGCAGACAAAGTAACAGCGCGCGATAACGCGAGGGGTGGAGAATCGCGAAATCAGCCTGCCTTTCTCACAGCGCTCATTTCCTTGTGATCAGGTGAAGAGGAGGGGAAGGTGCACTGAAGATTGCGCAATGGTGACCCGTTCATTGGTGCGCATTTCCGATTATAACTGCGATGTGTATGTAATGATAATTCGTTCATAGTGCGCCCTCAGGAAGCGGATTTGGACTGCGATGGCGCGCGTCGATGCCTAAAATCGCAACAGCCTCATAAGGAAATAGATAGGAACCGGTCGCCCGTGTTCTGAAAGAGTAAGGGGATCAGAAAGGTGCTAGACTGTGAGAAGGCAGCTCCTTCCTCCTGCTATCCTATTAATATAATCTCTCAGTGCGCCAAACGGCGCCAATTGACGCCCATCTTCGCGTATATAACGGGAAGCTCTGCAGTGATAGCGCCGACACGCATTGAAGCGATACAGCGCGTATACCCGAAGTCCGAATGCTGCTCAGCGGGCAGTTTGAATCCACGTATTACTGATGTCCAGTAACCCCGCCCTACGGTCTGACCTCTACGCTTGAAGTTCTTGTGACTGCTCTACGACACTTTGGGAAAAACATGTGAAAGTAGGCAACTCAGTAGGTTGCCTGAAATAAACAGTAGTGACGAACCGCTTTCGGTGGCTTTTGTGCCTTGAGCCTTGCATTGTACCGTACCAAAATATCAATCACATCAGGCTCCAGCATAACTGACGCCGGTTGATGCTCGATCATCGACAGCAATCGCTAAAGCAGCTACATCAGGTTGAGCCGAGAGATCGTCCGCAACCCATGACAACCAAGAGTGCCCACGCGTCGCGGTCAATCTGCCTAACGACCTGCATTGCAGCAGAGAGGAAGATGAGAGAAACAGTAGTTTTCGCTCAGACCTGAGGCAACACACAGGAAGGGGAGCATTGATGGGGCTGCTCCAGCTCGTTCCCATTTACCTCCTCCTTAGTGAAGCATGCAAGCGACACAATTCGGAGGGGAATGAGATCGCGCCGCCTCAAAGCGGCCCTCTCCCTCCCTGACATGCCCCAGGGTCTGTAAAGGAAACAACTGTACCTATTCCGCTTGAAGGTACATTCTTGGCCGTCTAACTACCAATTCAGCGATGGATAATGAAAGCTGGGCTGTGACTTGAAAGAACATCTCTCGATTACGTGGATAGCGGGACTGCAGTACGAAAGCGCGGTAAGTAGTTTTCCTCTAGCACGCACTTGTTGCCTGTTCTTTTCGAACTACGAGAGAGAACAAAACAGTAACCTCCACTTTTTCTTTCCTCTCCTTAGTGACAGGCCGTTCAACTGCCATTGAAACTTTTCCATTTGCCTAAATTAATCCGGATATGCTTAGTATATTCACACATTGAAACAGTGGCCACGGCAGTGGTTGAGAGGAGTCGGACCTACCATTTTGCCATGCTTTTGCTGAGCCCCTGCTCTTCGCCACTGCAGAGCGAATACGTTTGTCAATAAGAAAAGCGCAACAGCACGCCCGACTCCGCCTCCCTGATGGGCATGGATTCGGCCATTGAGTCAGATTAAAGAGTTTAAGCGAAACTTCACCTTCAGACCCTTGATTATTTGTTTCTTGGTAAGTTCCTTATCTGTTACTGGTATCCCCTCGACGTCACATATCCGATCCAAGTATTTCAGAGCATCACTGCACATCGAGCCTGAAGCGTGCAGAAGCTGTGAAAATCCCTCCAGCTTCAGCTATGATGGAATATTTGCACGCTTTCTGGAACCAGTCTTTCTACCTCAAGGTCGCCACTTTACTACGATACCTAGGTTATTCTGAATAAAAATTCGCTTATTCCCACAGTTTGCAGGGTTTGTAGCAATGTAGTCGAGTCTGCCAGGACAAAGTATGTATCAAGTTCGCATCTTGGAGATGGGTGATAAGGACACTGGGCGCCCGCGGCAAGGGCAGTATCCCGCCCATCACCCGATACCACACCCAACGTTTTTTTCTGACGGTAACATGCAACCATACCGCTTGGAGCAGGATGGATATGTCGTTCCTGCAGTTCTCCCTTCCGAAGTCCGACACGCCATCTCGTCGGTGAAGAATCGTACGGCACCCGGTCCCGACAGGATCAGACCCGAACATCTGAAGAATCTTCCGCCAGTTCTTGTCAAAACTCTGGCTCGACTCTTCACGCGCTACCTGTCGGAATGCAAGGTACCCACCTCGTGGAAAACCAGCAAGACTGTGTTGCTGTACAAGAAGGGAGACCTGTACGACATTGGCAATTATCGCCCAATCTGCCTGCTGTCTGTAGTCTACAAACTCTTCACACGAGTCATCCTGAACAGGATTGGCAGAACACTAGACGAAGGACAGCCATGCGAGCAAGCAGGGTTTCGAAGAGGATTCAGCACGATCGATCATCACATCCACACGGTAACGAAGCTATCGCGAGAGTACAAGATGCCGCTATGTCTCACGTTCATCGACTTGAAGAAAGCCTTCGACTCCGTTGAGACAGAAGCGGTTATCGAAGCCCTGGGCAACCAGGGTATTCCTACTCAGTACATCAGGATTCTTCGTGAGCTCTACAGCAACTTCACGACCAAGATCTCACCATTCTACAAGGAGATCATCATCGATGTGAAGAGAGGGGTCCGACAGGGCGACACCATCTCGCCCAAGCTCTTCAGCGCCTCTCTCGAGAACGTCATGCGTCAACTGGAATGGGAAGACATGGGAGTGAAGATCGACGGTCGGCAACTACACCATCTCCGCTTTGCTGACGACATCGTTTTGTTTTGATAACACCAAACGAGCAAGCGGAACGAATGCTGGCTGAATTCGACTGCGCGTGTGGAAAAATCGGTCTACGGCTGAATCTAACGAAGACGATGTTCATGAGAAACGGATTGGTATCTGATGCCCCATTCACGCTCAACGGAACGACCATCTCTGAATGCTCTAGCTATGTGTACCTAGGTCGTGAAATCAATATGATGAATGACCTAGCTCCAGAGCTGAGCAGGAGGAAGCGAGCGGCTTGGGGAGCCTTCAAGAACATCGAGGGAGTAGCGAAGAAGACGAAGAACACTCCGTGCCCACCTCTTCGATTCCGCGGTCCTTCCTGCCTTGACGTGCCAGAGACTTGGACTCTACGAAAGCAGGATGAGCATGCGGTCGGCGTTATTCAACGCGCCATCGAAAGGGCGATGCTCGGAGTTTCCCGCTACACGCAAGTGAGAGAGGGAATCCGGAGCTCCGCACTCCGCCGACGATCGAAGATCAGAGACGCCGCCGCATTTGCCAAGGTTCGAAGATCAGGTGGGCCGGGCACGTCATGCGTTTCGAGGACGACCGCTGGACCAGAGCGATCACCGACTGGATTCCACGGGATGTCAAGCGAACGCCTGGACGACCGCCTATGCGATGGTCAGTGACTTCGTGAAAGCTCTGAACGAATGGTATGAAGTTCATCGTGTCCCTCGAGCAGAGAGAGTTCATTGGGCAACTCTTGCACGTTGCAGGGACGAATGGAGACGTTACTGGCGCCCGCTCGAGGAACTCGATGATCAACGGGAGCACAGGTGATACAGGTGAACATGGAGGTGCGGTCCTTGTTCTCCTATGCCGTCCCATTCCGGTTGGCCGGTGTTGGATAAGGGGACGAGAAAGAGGAAAAGCTTCCTGCTTCCTCTGAAAAAGCCTGCTTCTCCTGAAGTGGGGCAGATACCTTCTGGAAGCTCAGCCTTGGAAGGGAAACCAGTGTGCTCTAGGATTGAGGTTTGTGGCCTAAGCCTGGGGAAGAAGACTCTCTGGGGGGGGGGGGGGAAAGGGGTGAACCAAGCCCTTCGCTCACGAAACCCAACCATGTGCTTCTGAACGGGCAATTTGCGGCGGCCCTGCACCGTACATCTGCTCGTCCGCACCCTCTCACCGAAATATTATGACATGGCTGGGCCTGGCTGTGTGCCTCGGAAAGCACTGGAAGCGTAGCCCCTCTCGGAACACCCACAGTGATTTCAAGTGATTGCATACCATCGTCCACTTTGTTGACAATCACATGATTTTCTGTGTGTACCATCATAAGCCCAAATTTTTTGTCCTTTTGAATCTCAATCGTCACCAGAAGATATTCGTACCTGAGGCATGAATCACCATTAAAACCAGTTGTTGACAAAATGGGAAGCAAACTGTTAGTATACTTCACACCGCTCCACTACCACTTGCCCGCGAATGAATTGTATTGATTGAGTGCGCGCAAAATCAATACACATTTCAATGGGGGTGATAATGAATTGGTCTGACCGCGTATAGAATTGCTCAAACGTTGGAATACGAACCCTTCCTTTCTCTTGACGTTCCTTTCACGTTCTATAGGCCACTGTAATGAATTTTCGTTAATTATACAGGTTGTGATCAAAAATTACTGTACTTTGGGGAATGGATCTAGCACTGCCTTACCTTAGGTAGGAGTGGGGGGGACTCGCTTTCCATGAGTTGCGTCACTCTGATCCTACCGATTTATGTAGGCACATGTATGGGTGTTGATGAGGAGGTGTAGCTTGCGACGACGCACCAAAAGAACAGGTGTGAGTGGCGTCGCGTGAGCGGCCTATATACAGACTTGCTCGCTCCGGGTGCTTAGGCATGCTGGAGACGGGGGACTAGTTTCGCCGCGGCACCAGTCCGTTTGCCATCAGCTGTTGTGCCTTGACCTTTTTAAAACTGGTGGGAACGTGTTGGCCAAACCCAGCTCCTTCCACCCCCCCCCCCGCACCAGCATCCGCAGGCAACAAGATTGTATGTATACATGCTGCTTACGAGACGAATCATCACACGCGTGTATAACGGTCCCTGCGCCTGCCCACGGCCCGGATTTCAAGGTCCGTGCCCTCTTATGTCCCAGACGAGGAAGGAGTGGAGAAGTTGCCGCGCCATTGTATTGCGACAGGGATCAGACCGTTCATAGTAACGTTTGCCAGTTCATGATCCCGAGAACCCGCTACTGGGAAAAGCCTAAGTGATCAAGTGATGTGCATTTGTACTGAGGGGGGGGGCAATAAGTGACGCCTTCCTCATGAGGCTTGCCCTCACAGCTTACCTCACACGGTGCTTAAGGGCTTACCTTTCCATCTTCTCCCACTGATGGATTTGAAGGGGTTCCGTGAGCTTCGATCGCAGTATTTGATGACGACGCCTTGGCAGCGACAACATTCTTCGGCGATCCAGCTTTAGGTGTTCCAGCTACAGCTATACCTTTTGGAAGAGCATCAGCAACTTGTACCATGGAAACTCTTTTATCCATGGGTTCCTTTTTAACACCAGCCGCTGGCGTCACAGACGGTTGGGATGCTGCCTTCGCTTCTGCTGGGGTTCCATTGGCAGCTTGTACTACCAGTTGGTTTCTTATCCGTGGGTTCCTTTTTGGCACCGACTGCAGGGGACGCAGACGGCTGGGTTGCTGCCTTCGTTTCTGGAGGAGTACCACTGGCAGCTTGTAGTACCGAGGGTTTCGGTTCCTTTTTAGCACCGACGGCTGGAGTTGCAGACGGTTGACTTGTAGCCTTGGTTTCTTGCGGTCCTTTAGCCTGAGGAGCTACCTGGGTTCCACTAGGAGCTTCCTGTAATATAGCGGTAGTGGCCACCGGGGTTCCTGCCGGTTTCTGACCTGTTGCAGGTGGTGCTTTAGTGGCAACTACGGCAGGTGGTGGCCCCGATGATAAGGCCCCTTTTGTTCCAGCAGGAAGTTTTGCTTGAGCGAATTCGGTAGGGGTCTGAGGTATAGGTGGCGGCTTTGGAGCCAAGGGTTCTTTCTTCGGCTCCGGCAGATCTTGCGGTTTTGGTTTGGGCGGCTTGATTTCCTTAGCTGTTTTAGCTGATTTTTCCACCGCCGTGGCTGCTGCTTTTGCTATAGTGTCCTTGCGCTCGATCTTCTTTTCCGATATTTCTATTGCAGTAGCTTCTTCCAATGGTTTCGTTTTCTTGGCCTTGTTGGAACCTTTTGTTGGGGTCTTCGCGACCCCTGCAAAGGGCAACTTCTGGCGAAATTCCTTGGCAGTTTTCGTTAGGGCATCTCTTGCAGATGGAGGCTTCGGACGCGCAAATTCCCTGGCGGTTTTCGTCTGGGCGATTTCAGTTTCCGGTGATGGCATAACATTGGGACGTACAAACTCTTTGGCGGTTTTCGTCTGAGCTATCTCTGTGGCGGGTGACAGTGCAGTGGGACGCACAATTTCCCTGGCTGTCTTAGCCTGAGCTATCTCTGCTGCAGATGATGACTCAGCAGCGGGATGCCCAGACTCGTTGGCAGCCTTCCCAGGCGTCACCGTTAGGGCGGTCCCACTCGGAAGTGGTGGAGGTTTCCCGACAGTCTTCTGAGTGGTGCCTGAAGCCTTCGGGTCCTCCTCAACAGCCAAACGAGCCGTTGCTGTTGGTCTTTCTGAAAGTTTTCCAAGTTTGGCATCACCTGGCGCTTGTGAATGAGCTCCACCCATTTCTCATACTGTTCACGAAGTGCTGACGAAAAGTTGCCCTGAAACAAAGACTATAAAAACGCTTCCTCTGGTTATGAGAACCTTAAAAAGAACAACCTGTTAATAGCGAGTAATTCGTTGACTGAACCCCTCTTTCCATGAACTGGTGATGTTCCATCTGGAAACAGTAAACAACAGGGAGAGCGCTGAGATTGTCGCCTCACTACGCGTCCGCGGGAGAGTATGAACGGTCGTGTCGTTTAGGGTGTCATTATACGATAGCCCCGTTTCTTGCATTTCACAGCATTGGGCATTGCATTGTATTGTGTTTCGAAAGATTAAGGGGGAACAGGAGGGTACGTGTTGCCTGGTAACAGCCTGGTATCGAACGGCATTGGCCGCCAGGGCTTCGGGAGAGTACAGAAGAACAGGAGAGTGCCAAATTGTGTGAAGGGCAGCGTCTGCGTCTGTAGGACTGGAGCGCTATAGGAAGTGTAGCGCGTCGACGCGCGTCATCACGAAGTCTGAACACTGGGCGTACCCGCGTATACGGCGCGCCATTGCCTTACAGCATTTTTGTGTGCCTGTATGTGAGTGATAATTTTGGATAGTAAATTGTTCAAAGGCAACTAGAAGATTGAAATATGCAAAAGCACTAGAAAAAGCTGATGTGCGTGGAAACTGTGCTTGAGAACCTTGAAGGAGAAGCAAAGCGAAGCCGTCAACAACCTGTGGTGGAAACATATTCCGCCCAATGGTGGGTGTGGGCGAGTATGTGGTTAAGACGCACTTCTTCGGACGAGTCTCCTGCCGCATCATGTCAGTGTCCCATTCAAGAAACCACGACATCTTCATCGCCACGTTCATACCTGGAAAAAAAGGACTTTCTACCTGGACGCCGCCGAGAGCGGTCCAATCAATAGCTTCCCTACTCGTCTGCTGCCTCTCAGTGTGGGAAATGCATGCGCAGGTTAAACTTCCCCCACATATGCTACAGATTTCCGTTGAAATAACAGATCAGTGTTTTTCCTCATGGCAAGGGCAATGTTACCTTCGTTCGGCTAATGAGAACCTCAAACGATTTTCGCACATCAGTTGATTGAATGGGATGGAATACAACTCCCGAATTTTTGGAAGCTCTTACTCGGTAAGGGCTACAGTTTTTGGGCAAAGGGCGGACAGCGGGCTACATGTGCAAGAAGGCGCCAGTAAACGAAAGACGACGAAGAGCTTGGATTCCCTTGGACAAATTCCTCTTTTTTTTGGGCTGATTTTTGGCTCCTCAATGACCAATGAATGGCTCCGCAATGAAATAGTGAACTCTAGATGAAAAACAGGTGATAGTGGTGAGTGTGTGAGCTAGAGTGTGTGTGTGTGTGTGTGTGTGTGTGTGTGTGTGTGTGTGTGTGTGTGTGTGTGTGTGTGTGTGTGTGTGTGTGTGTGTGTGTGTGTGTGTGTGTGTGTGTGTGTGTGTGTGTGTGGTGTGTGTGTGTGTGTGTGTGGTGTGTGTGTGTGTGTGTGTGTGTGTGTGTGTGTGTGTGTGTGTGTGTGTGTGTGTGTGTGTGTGTGTGTGTGTGTGTGTGTGTGTGTGTGTGTGTGTGTGTGTGTGTGTGTGTGTGTGTGTGTGTGTGTGTGTGTGTGTGTGTGTGTGTGTGTGTGTGTGTGTGTGTGTGTGTGTGTGTGTGTGTGGTGTAGGGGGGGCTGCAACGTTTATAGAGCACATGTAGTGGGAGTTTTCCATCCCCCAGAAAACGAGCATATCCCTGAGGCACTAGAGCTTGGCGTTTTTGCTAACCATTTACTGAGCCCTAATTAGTGGCTGTCTCTTCTCTTTAACGACCCAGGAACGAAACGAAGGCGCACCAGTGGGGGAGGGGATCGATATGGTCTACTTGGTGTCCTGGTAAGATACCACGGAATCTGAGTGAGTGGATTCAGGCCTCGGGTGAAATCGCACCTAGGCTATCCAGGCCACTCAGCCCTCACAAGATCAACTAATTGGTGCCGGTGCCTATCGGCTCGATGGGGGATCTAACGGTACTCAGCGCTTGTGCAGCCAACCTGGTAAGACCAGTGAATTTCTTCACTATAAGAGTTCCGAAGCGTCACAGGGGTTTGCAAGTCGAGCCAAATAAAGACCTGTCACTTACATCAACCAGCAGAAGAAACTGAATAGTGCAAAATGCTCCCATCCAAGCCGAATATGTGCCATGGTATCCTTGGAATGAACTCGGCAAGGCTGCTTCTCCTTGTGCTCTCTCGTCATTCGTCGCCTGATCCCTCGTCCAGGCGCTCAAATTCTATTTCCAGTGCTCGTACAGGGCTCCGAACCTCTCGCAGAAAAATTATTATTATAAAGTAAGCGCACTTCTTGGCTTGATGGGCGCATTTATATCGATTGCTGCATTCCTTGGTGAAACCTGAGAATTCCTGTCAAGCTATGAAGCAGCATGATCCTCGTTCTCACTTGACAAGAGTCTACAGGTCTCACCAGGGCGAGACGTGTAATGAGCAAGAACTAGACAAAGGAAACTAGCAGAAGTGCGAAGGCTTTCACGCTCCACCCCCCGCTGTTTGTTAGGCCTGATGGCGTCCAGGGGACCTCTTACAATGTCTTTGCTCCACGGTTTTCCTCTTTCTCCGCTCCGTTCTCCGCTTTCCCACGGTGGAGTCAGCATTCATGGTATGTAGCCCTTACGATGTAAGAGCTTACAAAAAATTGGTTTATAAGCCACAGTACCTGGTCCCACTGACACTGCAGTAGCTCTTCGTTATTAGATGGTTTCAACTCTACTGCCTACGGCATTAGTTTTTCTTCTTATTCCAATGCAGCAGCGTATAAGTGTACAGTTTGCGCATGGAGACTTTCTAACCGAGAGGCAGCAGACGTGTAAGAATTCTACTTACTGGATGGCCTCGGGTGAACTCATTCGGCGACGGGAAAGGCGGTCGTAGTTCGTCGCGTCGTCGCACGAGGCATCTCATGCGGCCATGCGCGGCGAAATATCGATGTGCAGAAGGGCCAAGCAAGATATCTCGTCCAGTCGCTCGCCACGCACACCTCCGGGGCATATTACTATCTTGTCACATACACGAATAATTAGGGTATGTAACAAAAGGATCGTACGAATGCCGCTGCCTCACTTGGTAGACCGCGCTGCGACAAGTTCGCTGCGCGTGTGAGCTCTTGCGTAATCAATAATTTCGGGTAAACTGGGCTCTACCACACGATCCAGGCTGTCACACAATTCTAGCCCAGTTTTTGCCCGCGATCAGTTCTTCTGGGTAGTGGGGCTCAAGAACGGGTACCAAAATGCCATGAAGGTCAATGGTGGAGTAAATACCGAAATAAGCATTGCCACCAGTGACTCAAATAAAACCCCATAGTGGGAGCATTTTTGCGAGAAGGCGAGTAAAAGGGCTAATGCCGTTTGGACTCCAGAAATTTCGGCTCCGAGCTCATTTTCAAATTGCCTAAGTCACCAAATCCGCTAAAAACTTGTATATAGGGGTAATTCAACATCCTGATTACGAGTATGACACTCATTCTTGGCGCTGGCGCCAAGAGAGGACACTACGATTACCTCCTGGGCTCAGCCTTAGCAGAGCGCAGGTAACCGTAGTGTCATCCATTAGCGCCAGCGCCAAAAATGAATGTCATATTCGTGATCAGGATGTTGAATTACCCCTATATACAAGTTTTTAGCGGATTTGGTGATCTTGCCACTTTTAAAATGAGCTCGGAGCCGAAATTTCTGGAGTCCAAACGGCATGAGCCTAAAACGTGTAGGACTAATACGCCTAGCAGGACTGAATTCGGGTCTTTGAGTAATTGCCGCGTGGCGTCTTCCCCAAGAAAGGTAGCCCTATAGCGCCCCATCAAGCTACAACACAGCGCAGCCACCTGCCCACAAATAGACGATCTGCTAGTGCTCCTATCGCTTCATTTCCGAAGTACAACATGAGGCGAAGGGATTGAAGCAGCTGCGACGCATTCGTAGTGCTTATTGGCACGATGCCAACGGGAAACTCGCTCGAAACTGCTTTCTGAGTTTTGTAGAACACAACTTTTTCCGCAGGTTTTTGACCGTTTTACTTCGCGTCTTTGCCGTTTTCCCGCAATATGGCACCCCTGTTACCATTTTCGACCGAGTACAAAACTGCCGTGTCCTATGTCTCCAAGGCAGTGTGGATTCCAGCAAGGTTGAAATTGGAACCTTTGAGTCGCACAGTTTACTTCCCTGAACCCTCCAAACAAGCGCAAGAGGTCCACTCACTCAGCTCATACTCATTTAAAGGCAGGTACGCGATCAGGTATCGAAGTTGAAAACATAGCATCAGGAGGTTACAGTGGTCCACGAGAGGTGCGTACTCGCAGTGCGTCAGAGGCAGACCTTGTACCACGGTTTCGCTTCCAAAAAAATTTCCAGGAGCATTGAAAAGTCGACCTTGTACGATCGTTAGAGTTCTTATCGATGGATATCGCCTAGTGCGTGTGAGGGAGATAGAGTTAATTGGGCACGTACAAACTGGGATCAAAATGGGGTTCTATCTAGGACAGGTGGCATGTTTTTTGTGCTTTTTTTCTTCACTGTCGAGTTATCAACCATACCTTGTCGTCTAAATGAAACTCCTTAGTCCACTATCTGTGTCGTGACTTTCGTACGACTCTGTTCACGCTATCAACATCACGTTACACGTCGAATCCAACTGTGCCGTCGCCTGTCTTTCTACACGCCATGTCGTGATTTATCGCCGTCGTCAACAACATCAGTGTTTATCCGAATAATGCCGCAGTCTACCACTCATCGTCGCTGCCCGTCGATCGCATGCTGGCTGTGGTATATATTGTTGTATATTTGTATAGTTATGTAGGTAATATATTGTATAACTGAAGCAAAGCCCTGGAGCCAATCGTCAATTCCATCCCCACGAACCCTTGCCTTAGGCCCAGTAGGTCGTTCGTCCGATGCACTGCACTGTGGCTGCTGTCTGGAGGCGTAGGTCGCGGACGGTAAGAA